TTTTAATATTTTTAAACAACTTGGGTATGAGAATTCACTTTATCTGTAAAATGTTATGATTTTAAACAGAATTTAAATTTAGAAATCTGAATTTTCAAATGAAAATTTAGTGACTAGATATAAAATATACTATTTCAAATAATAGCCAAAAAATGTAACTATATAACCCTTTTTTTTTTTAATATTGACCTCTATTGGATACTACATTACTATGCTTTGGGTATATTATTTTAAATAAAATATATTATTAAAATTAATGTCACAGTCTTCTTTCTTTTTTTTTTAAATGTACTTCTGGAGAATTTTAAATTACATATGACCCACAGTACATTTCTATTACACAGCAAATAAAGTGTAATACTGACAAGTGGCAAAATATCTAAGATGGACCAGTGAAGGTGTTTAGAAAACTTGTGTAGGGGCCTCCCTGGTGGCACAAGGGGAAATCAATAAGCAACTATAAACCAGAGACACACTAGGGAGGTGGGGGGGTGGGGAGAGAAGAAGGATAAGGGTCGAATAAGGGGGGGTGCAATTGTATGGGGAATATAACCAAAATGAAAATGTATACATTGTGCAAAAATGAAAAATGATGTAAGAATTATATATATATAAAAAAAAGACATGGCACTGTGAAGCTGTCCCCAGCCACTGCAGAACGAGTTCAATCCCCAGCCAGGGAGCTACCCACATGGAACAGCAGACCTCTCCTGTCCAGCCCGCTGCTCCCCTCAGCGGTGTACTTCAGTCAGTCTGCCTGTTCTGCTTCCCACTCTGTCTCTGATGAATCATTTCACCCCCATGACTCTGGCCTGTACCCCAGTTCCTGTATGCATAATAAAATCTTAAAAAAAGAAAAGAAAAGAAAACTTGCATAGTATGAGGGAAAAGCAAAACACCAAACTGGACTGCATTCAAATCCTAACTCTGAGTCTGACCATCCAAAGGGAATTAAGCATGCCATTAGGCCTTCTCAGCCTATATATAACCCACTTTCCTGGCATAAACAAAATATTTGTGAAATGCTTGGTGTATCAATTGTTTACAATAAAAACAGTTGGATAAACTGTTACTTTTCAATAGATAGCAGAAATTTCAAACAACTGTTAAGAATTAGTTTCTGTCTTCCTGCAAATGGGTTATATTCCAGGAAAGACTCTCCCTTCCCATAATACTTGTGCAAATTTGTTATTACCCTACTTTTTATAGATGAATGACTCAGTGTTATCAAAATGTTTAGCAAATAGAAGTACTGCTTCCATTTTCACTTTAAAGTGGCAGCAATCAAATTCAATTCAAGATAGACCATGGTAATTTTTTTTTTTAGATTTATTTATTTATTTATATATACAAGCACTGGGTACAGTCAGAAGCATGGGAGGGTGAGGGAATTCACCAGAGCCAGAGGGGAGAGCAGAGCAGGAAGAATGACGAAGTACACTGCTGAGGGGAGCAGCGGGCAGCAGGAGAGATCTGTTGTGCCATGAGGGATCCTTGCCGGCAGCAGGGGATCGAACCTGCACTGCAGAGGCTGCGGGCAGTTTCACAGCCCAGTGCTCAACCGCTGCACCACCAGGGGAGGCCCTACCATGGTAATTTTTAAGAAGCCAAAAAGAGATTTGATATCAGATACTTATGTGGAATGTAGAAGAAAATGTGAAATATAGAAAGGCATGGCATTTTTTAAGATTATTTAGATTATGTGTGTATTTTTATTTAAAAAAAAGATTTATTTATTCATTTATTTATTTATTTATTTATGCATACAAGAACTAGGGTACAGGCCAGAGATGGAGGGGTGAGAAGATACACCAGACACAGAGTGGGGAGCAGAACAGGCAGACTGACTGAAACACACTGTTGAGGGGAGCAGCAGGGAGACAGGAGAGGTCTGCTGAACCATGAGGGTAGCTCCCTGGCCAGGGATCAAACTTATGCTGCAGTGGCTGCAGATAGCTCCATAGGTTGAGTCTTAACCCCTTGAGCCACCAGGGAGGCCCTATGTGTGTATTTTTATGTGTGTGCTTGTATGTGCACTCCATTATATCTGACTTGTCACCAAAAATTTTTAAATTCAGTTACACAGCATCCAATTAACTTGTTGGTTTCCATTCAACATATTTAATTTTAAATAAGTTTCACATTAGCTTATACTATGTCATAGAACTGAAATCTAAAATTTAGTTGTGTCTTTCAAAGTAGTCTATTCTTGGATTTTAAAGCAAATAGCTCCTAATTAACATTTACCACATTTTTATTTAAATAAAAATTTATTTTTAATTATTTTAATTAACGTGTCAGTTGTTTCTATATTTATATAACTTAGGGGTTATTTCATATGTGTACATGCATCACTCACCCTCCACCAGTATCTTGTGCCAGTGACCTACCCCCTTCTACCCTATGCCCTCCTTCAACATCTACCATTTCTCACAATTTACCAGCATAACTCTCAAGTATTTTCTCCAAGTAGGCCATCAAGGTACATAACAAGTCAGATATATGTCCCACTGAAAAACCTTATGTTCACTAACTCACACCACAGGGGAATTTCTAGGAAACAAAGTAAAATAATAGACCAGCAATCTGTCCTATGATTATTAATGAAAATTTTTTATCTTGTTTGTTGAATTATAAGTATTTACTTGATGGATTTTTCCATAAGATTGACATGGAAGAAGTGTTACTGTCTATGTGTTCATTTGAAAATCACAGATTTCATGACAGTTTTGCTGGATGGATGGATAGATGGATGTAAGGAAGAAATAAATGTTCAGAGCTATGAGTTACCAATAAAATAAATTTAATCTTTGAGGCTGTTTTTCTCAACCAACTAATTAAAAATTTAGGTAATATATTATGATGTGTCAGTGTAAGTTCATCATTTGTAACAAAGGTACCTCTCTAGTGGGGGATGATGATAATGGGGGAGGCTATCCAATTGTGAGGGTAGTAGACATTTGGGAAATCTCTGCCCCCTCCTCAATTTTACTATGAACTTAGCTCTAAAGAAATTCCTATAAAAATAGATATTATTTTTAAAAATCAATATTGCAATTAATAATTTAAAATGGTACTTTCTTGCATAAAAATATCAATTAATTAAATCAGCCTCAAATTAATATGCACTCTTAACATGTCGAGCATTGCTTTAGGATATGAGATTTAAAGAAAAATAATACCTATAAATCTAAAGCATGGAATAAAAGGTTGGTTTTATTTAATTCATCTGAACTAATCAAAATTTTTAAAAAATCATTAAATCATAGAAAACAAAGCAATGCAGTTTCTTTTTAGAATGCTTTCTTCTTAACGAAAAGGAATGGCAACATTCTGCCTCCTGAAGATTTTTCAACATGTTTTATACTTTCTGCTTCTTGCTTAGAAAATGTGATCTCCTACTACAAAATAAGATGTCTTCAGTGCTGCTGTCTTTTGTTACGGAGTCAGGTGTGAGGGGATGAAGAGGAAGCATGAGATCAAAGAACAGGGAAAAGAAACATTGACAAGAAGTAAATCACAGCAAAGCTTTGCATAATATCATTCCCATATTGAACAAGAACACTGGAACTTTAAGTAACCATGACCTAGGGCAAGATTCTGAGAAACTCCCAGATATGAAATACCAACCACCTTGGGCACAGAATTTGTGAGAGCTGTCAGTAAAAAGAAACAGTGAAAAAAAAAAATTGGTCTGTTCTGATCACAAAAATCTACAAAGAGCTGAAGAATCTCAACAAAAACATAGTAAATAATCCAGTCAAAAAATGGGCAGAAGAGCTAAAAAGAAACTTCTCTGAAGAGGAAATGCAAATGGCCAACAGGCATATGAAAAAATGTTCAACATCACTTGTAATCAGGGAAATGCAAATCAAAACTACCATGAGATACCATCTTACACCAGTGAGAATGGCACATAGTAAAAAAACTAGTAATAACAAATGTGGTGAGGTTGTGGAGAAAAAGGAATTCTCTTGCGCTGCTGGTGGGAGTGCATATTGGTCAACTACTATGGAGAGCTGTCTTGAGGTTCCTCAACCTGCTAAAGATGGAGCTTCCATATGATCCAGCAATTCCACTCCTAAGTATTTACCCAAATGACACAGAAACAGTAATTCCCGAGGGCACCTGCACCCCTATGTTTATAGCAGCAATATTTACAATAGCTAAGCTATGGAAACAACCCAAATGCCCAAAGATAGATGACTGGATCAAGAAGATGTGGTACATGTACACAATGGAATATTACTCAGCAATCAAAAAAGATAAACTCATGCAATTTGCAGCAACATGGATGGAGCTGGAAGGGATCATGCTCAGGAAAATAAGACAGAAAGAAAAAGAAAAATACAGGATGGCCTCACTCAAAGCGAGGAATTTAGAAAACCTAAATAAGGGATCAGGAAAATGACTAATTATAATAAAGTAAAAATCAAAATCAACAAGCAACTATAAATCAGACACACACACTACCAGGGAGGGGGATGAGGGAGTAGGATCAAAACAAGGGTTGTGGGAATTGTTTGGGCAATATAACCAAGATGACAATGCATACATTGTGCAAAAATGAAAAAAAAAAAAGATATAAGAATGATATAAAATAAAATATAGTAAATAAAAAAATGGTCTGTTCAACTAACGGGCTGGCTGAGAGTCTTGATAAGTGAGCGCTAAAAACCTGACAGGTGTTGGTCCTGGGTGAAAGTGATCCAAGGGGCGCTTTGCAGCTGGCAAGATGCAGCAACTTTGCTCACAGCGTCACTAGCCTGGACCGACCGTGTAGTGGTTTCAATGTAACACATTATTTTTGTTTCTTAAAATAATGCAGTATTTTATCCTGGAAAAGTGTAAGTGATAAATCAGGAAAACTGAATTGCGTTAGAGAGGACAAATGTTTCTAAGGACAGCTGTAGTAAATTCTGCAATGAACGGAAGAACCGACCAAGCCCTTAGCAGTGTCTGTGCACACGCGCCACCGGCCGGTCCCGGGTCCTACTCACCCCCAGCATCTGGTGGATGTAATAATATTCTGGTCCTTGGTTGTACAGCAGGAATGTTTTCCAGAAAAGCAGGACATTCAAGGAGAGCCAGATAAGCTAAAATCACACAAAAGAAGAGTAAGGAAGGCATTACCTGGTGAGTGGAGCCCTCAAGCGCATTCCTGGTGCACCAGAAAGTGTTTTCAAGGGAACCTCAACGGGCAGGGCCAGAGAACATCCTCAACTGACCAGCTGGAATCACTCAGAACAAAGCAAACCTCAGCTCCTGAACCTGGGAACAAGTCTTGGGTCTCAAACAAGTCTCAGTGGCCCTGGAAAGCCCCGCTGAATGCAGGAGCCTGGGGCTGGAAACCAGCCTGCAGGAGACACAGCTGGGGAAGCGCTGCGGACAGGGGAGGGGGCGTTAGAGGGTCAGAAACCACCTTGTCCACCAAAACTGGCCTTTTCTCCCTCGCGTTCGCGCCCCCAGCAGGACCTGTGCGCGCTGCTGGCGCGGCGGGGCGGGAGGCTCCTCCGCATCCGAACAGCGGAAAGTTTTGTTTATTGAAAATGTTGGATTTAGAAGCAAAAACGTCCAGCTTCCCACCCGCGCGCGCTCGCAGGAAGAGCCAGACCGCGGCGCCGAGACAAAGCGCGGGGAGGTGGCGCGTCCTACCAGGCAGAGGCGCGCGGCGCCCTCGTTGGCCAGCCAGCTCCTCCAGGACACGGCCATGCCGGCTCCGTCCCCACCGCCCGGCGCGGCCTGGGCAGCGTGACCGCGGGGCGGCCTGGGCAGCGTGACCGCGGGGCGGCCTGGGCAGTGCTGACCGCCGGGCGGCCTGGGCAGTGCTGGCCGAGGGCGCGCCGGGGGCGGGGAGCCGGGGTCAGAGACCAGCGGCCGCTGGGGGCCGGCGCCGCGCCAGCCAGGGTGGGGTCGGCGCCCCCAGCCGGCCCCTCAGGCCTGGAGGCTCGCCCCGCCGCCGGCCCGCGCTGCTCACTCGGCCTCCCCGACCCGCGCTCCCGCGGGGCTCCCGGGCCTCGGCCCGCGCCGGCGGCGTCTGCGGCTCCCGCGGCCTTTGTCTGCCGAGCCTGGGCGGCTGCAGCTGCTCGCGGTCGGGCTGGAAAGGAGGCGGCGTCCCCCGCGCTTCCACCCCGCCTGCCCAGCTCCAAGACCAGCAAGATGTGGGATTGACACCCCTACACGAGGCGGGGACCCTGGCCTCCCGCACCTCCCCAGACGCACATCCCGGTCCTTTTGAGCCCCCACCGAGAGAAAAAGCTCGACTCAGAGGACATTTGATATGGGAACCGCCCTTGTGCTGGTGGCCGCCTCCAGGCCATCCTCTGGGACTCACCCCCGGTAAACAGCCTCCCCTTAAGCCTCCCCTGCTTTAGGGCCAGCCCTACCCAACCTGCAATGATGCCGAGTTTTTAAGAAACTTCCAAATAAAAGGAGTCCAAGGTTAGTGGTTAAAACCGACAACTCAGGAGGGCTTTGGGGACTCAGGTGCACTTTATTGACAATTGTGTGTTTTACTACTTAGCACCAATCTTTTCAAAGATGTACCAGAGCTCGGTGAAGGGTGAGGACCTTGTAGAATGGATACAGGCTACCTGCCCTACACTGAAAAAATTGGCCGTGTCAGGAAAAAGGGAAAAAGAATCACACACAAGCATGTCTGTCTAAAGTAAGTGTTCAATAAAAGTTTGTTACATCAGGAATTTCCCCAGCTTAAACAATTGCAGAAAAATAAACCAATACTAGCCTGATTTCATTATTTGCAAGCCCTTTTTAAAATTAAATATTACAAAACAGGCCATAATATATAATTGAAACTAAAAATTCACAAAATTATACTTCTATTACTAAAAACATTGCACTTATCTCGATTTCCTGTGCTGATTAATGACTGCAACCCACAGCTCAAACTTAAATTAATCTGTGCACGTATTAACTTTTCAGCCCCCCATACCTACCCACCTACGTACCTACACACACACACACACACACACACATACACACACACACACTGGTGTGGCAGATGAAAGAGCAAAGCCGTCTTCATAAATGTATAGTGTGAATAGACGCCATCCTGTAGCCTAACCCAAGCTCGAATTCTGCTACCTGAAAATAAAGCCAGAATTTTCATACCCACAGATGACCTAGGAGCCAGATAAATATTTAACAGATTGTACAACCTTTGCTTCTCTGCAATGCATTCCGTAGAAATGAAGAGATTAAACCCTGCATTGTTTTCCTCTAGTAACAGCATATATTTAGATCAGACGAACCTAGAACTGGAAAACCCTCCTATCAAGAATAATTACATTCACTGTTCCTACCTATATAAACTAAACTCAAACTTGTGTTTGTTGGAACATTCTCAAAAAGTAAAATCTGTTCGACTGCTTGCTAAGTTCAAATCCTCACTTTGATTATCTAGTAAACATTTTTCCTCTCATTGAAACTTTTTTCCATTTAACAAATTCATATCAAGTCCCAATGACATTCTACAAAGTTCTTTTCTGAACAGTTGGTCATCTCTCTTGGAAATATATTAACTTGATATTAATGTGCATCACTGTATAGAGGAAAAGAAATGTTTTTCTTGAAAGTCAAAATGAGGATTAACCAGAACAGACTGAGCCAGTTATTTATTCAAACCCTACTCTTCCATGCCCAGGAAGGGTTTGATTTGGAAAGAGCTGTGGAAAGAGATGGGTTTTTCTCATGTAAAGAGTGTACATTGCGACAACTACATGGCAGAAAAAAAACTCTCCTTTTCTCTGGTATTATTTTCAAGGGCAGATATTAATTTCCAGACAAGGCAATATGCATATCATAACTCATGATCTCTGTTATGTAATTTGCAAAAAAGAAAGGCAAGAATTTAGGAAATAAAATATCTTATCATAAGGAAATGACTTTTTGTCAGACAAGATGGTCAAGTAGTTTCCTCCCAAGATAGGAAAAACTGTCCTTGAAAGTCCTGATTTCATCAGAGAGACTTTTGTAACTTTGTCAGCATTCCAAATATCATAATGAAAAAATATTGCACTTTTTCCAGGAAAAGAGCTCAAAGAAAATAATCTTCTGACAAAAGACTTTACTCGGGTGAAATAATGGTAAGATAGTAGTGATCATCCTATGCTGATTAGAAATGCTGACGGGTTTTTTGGAATATTATTTATTATATAATAAGCACAGAAGCTTCATTTTCACTTTTTTCTTTTTTTTTTTTTTTTTTTTTGCTAGACGTGTCCTTCAAAATATGAAATTTATGCGGGGAAAGTTGGAAAAAGAATCCCTCCTTTAATCTGCATATTACTATTCCTTTGTGTGCCTGCTCAGAGGCAAACCATTTCCATGGAGCTTTTCGTAACCCATCTCCCCTCCATGTTTACATGCTCACCATGCAGTCTGTGCACTCTTCAGTGTGCTCATAGTATTTCATGCATTTCCTGCTTACTAATTTACTTAGGATTGTGTCTGTGTGGGTGGGTGGGTAGGTGGGTTTGTCTAATCCCTTCATCAACTAACCTCCCCAGTACAAGGATCTTTTCTTTCTTTCTTTTTTTTTTTTTTTTTTTTTTGCACAGAAGAACTGGGGTGTAGGCCCAGGGTAGGAATTGGGGGAGGTGATAGGATTCACCGGATATGCATTTGAGCAAGTGGGCACCTGGATTAGCTTTCTGGGAATGTAGAAACAAATTCTCATACATTCAGCGACTTAAAAGAACGAAAAATGTATTCTCTCACTTCTTTGAAAACAGAAAGTCTAAAATCAACCATTAGGTCAAAATCATGGTGTTGACAGGGACACACCACCTTTGCTTCTCCATTCTGGGGGCTGCTGGCATACCTTCACTTTTGGCTACATCATCCCCAATCTGTTCTTCCTACCAACATTGCCTTCTCTTCTTCTATATGCATATTTGTTAAAATCATCCTTGTACTTGTTTTTTTTTTTTTTAAGATTTATTTTTATTTATTTATACAAGCACTGTGTACAGTCAGAAGCACGGGAGGGTGAGAGAATTCACCAGAGCCAGAGCGGGGAGCAGAGCAGGCAGAAGGACCAAGGTACACTGCTGAGGGGAGCAGCGGGCGGCAGGAGAGGTCTGCGCACCATGTGGGACCCTCCTCCAGTGGCCGGGGAGCAGCCGGGGATCGAACCGGCGCTGCAGAGGCTGCGGGCAGCTTCGCAACCCAGCGCTCAACCGCTGTGCCACTGGGGAGGCCCTGTACTTGTTTTTTTAAGGACAGGTGTGATTGTATTTACCCTCCCCCCCAAATAAAAAGAAATCCAAGCTATTCTCCTAACGTCAAATCCTTAACTGCATTTTCAAAATCCACTTTTCCCTATAAAATAATATTTATATGTCCCGAGATTAGTACCTGATATGGTGGTCATTATTCAGTCTACTACAATACCTAAATTAAATTAAGTGATATTAATTTTCTGTCCATGATTGTCTATGCCAGCCTTAGAGTAAAAGTTTTGAGGAAATTCATTTTAACAAATAAAATTTGTGACTCATAGTTAGCTCTTCTGTGAATAAAGCAAAAACTATAGACCAGGAACCAGGAGCTCTAAGATTTCTTAAATATTGTGACTTAATTGACTTTACTAATTTTCTAACCCTGTATGTAATTATCAAGAATTATTAGTACTAATCTCAAAATGAAAAGAGACTGCATGATTTTCTTACAAACAAAAAACAAGACAGTATGAAAACTCTGTCCTTGTATGCTAATAACTATACAGTGGGCGGGGGCCTCCCTGGTGGCCCAAGGGGTAAAGCACTGCACTATGAAGCAATCCACAGCCTCTGCAGCATGAGTTCGATCCCCGGCAGGCCCACATGGTGAAGCTCCCCCCCTCAGCAGTGTATTTCAGTCAGTTTGCCTGTTCTGTTCCACTCTGTCTCTGGTGAATCCTCTCACACCCCCACACTCTGGCCTGTTCCCCAGTTCTTGTATGCATAAATAAATACATCTTAAAAACACAAAAAAAACTATACAGTGGGCATAAAAGTACTAGAACTCTAACAGAACATTAATCAAAAAAGGCAATCACAACATGTTCTGAGATCCTTGGCAAGGAAAAAGGGCCCCCAGTCAGAAGGAACCAGTAAGAAATGGCCCCAAGGTTGGACATGCACAAGTCTGGGGACAAATTCCAGACAATGACTCACTGCCGTTTTCATAGAAAAACAAACGTAGACCATCATCTGATTCAGTCATCTTGGAATGTCGACAATGCACTCACTAAACTGAGTCAACTTCTTCAAAAACACTGGCGAAACTAGAGAGGTTCTCAGGTTATCTATGCTCAGATACTTGCTGAAATGAGGTTTCTAAACCTCATTGAAGGCAAGTTAAGAATGTCAGATTGATGATGCCCAGTAAAAGTTTGTTGAAAGTTTGTTGGAAAAAAACTGAATAATGGTAAACATTTTTTTTTTTTTTTTAGAATTGCCTTATATGGAACACTTTTCCAAACTTTTGGATTACATAGAGCAATATGATCTCAAATGAAAAATATAAATAGAGACTAATATACACTATTCCATCCAAATTTTGGTTCAAGTAAGAAAATTTTTAACGAAGAATAAATAATTAAAATTGCCATGTTTTTGAAATTTTTGACAGTAACATTTATCATTAAAGAAAATTAATTTGTACAAAACAATTGTAAGAAATACTGACTACCTCCAGTTTCCGTAGAGACTTATTACATTCTCTCCTCGCTCCTTTGCTCCCCCCACCTTTCTCTCTCTTTCTATCACATCTTTTCACCTTTCATTATTTTTTATCATTTGTTCCATTAATCTCTTCTAAAATGGGGGTAGGGCCCTCCTTACCTTCATCCTAATTGTAAACATGAGAAAACAGACACAGGAGCAGTAAGTAGCTTGCCCAAAGTCACTGAGGTATTAATAAGTGCTCAGATGGCAATATTACTACTCCTTCCTCTACACCATCTTGTCATAATTGAATTAGGACTTCCATGTGTTAGAAGCTGTAAAATTTTAGATAGTAAATGCAACTGTAGTTGTCAACTCTCCAATTATCTGAAGTGAGTAAGGATTTACCAGTGGGCCCTTGTAGTGTTCATACACGTTGCATTCTCAAAAGACTGCCCTGTCTATTGTTTATGATATTATATTTCCTCTTTATTGTCTGGCATTCCTGAATATGACCATCAACAAAATAATTCCTGGATGTTTGTTATTTTATTATTCTTAAAGTTATAAATAGACATGTCCCAGGAGGCCAAAATATATTCTTAACACCTGTTTCCAAGTTTCTGGTCATATCATCAAATACATTTGAAATATAAAGGAAATAAGCTCAGAAATATAGTAGGAATCACTAAAAGCCCTTCCAGGAAATGAAACCTGAGATAATTTTTGGGTTACCAAGAACTAATTTGGAATTTAATGGCTTAGTTTAAAACACATATGTCTTAAATTTGAGGTATGGAATATAATTTTTTTCCTCTTCTATTTATGTCTTTAGTATTAGTTGCATGCTGCACAGAAGAAGCGGTCTCAGGTAAATGCCTTAAGTCTTTAAATATTAAGTAAAGTGTAAGTTGAGTAATGTAAGTTTTTTTTTTTTAAACTTTAAGCATTCAAATTATGGAATCAAGTTAATAGGTTCAGGTTTGGCTCTCAGCATTTTGCTGAGTGAGTCTAGTTTTGACATTTTTGAACTGAGAACTTAATAGGAGATAAGTGGGGATGCATGCTTTTTCAGATGTTTGACTATAAAAGCATTTAGTAATCATTCCTCTCCTCTAATCTAGCTTACTATATGTTATCCCTAACTTCTAAGTCTGAAGTCTGAGAAAATGCCTAAGTCTGAGAAAATGGAGTGAACTTTGAAAGGTAACATATCTTCCACACCAATATCCAAATTTAATCACAATTTTGGTAAGTCCTACCTCCTAAATATACACAAAAAACTGAAAGTGATGAGAATATCAAGGACTCTTTTTTTTTAATGATGGAAAATGTTGATGAAAATAATCCAATAGAAAGATAAATAATACCTAAAATGGAAAACATAAAGGAGCTAGTTCATGGGAAAATTTCCAGAAAAGGTAGAAGAGAATGACATACATAACACAGGTTAGTTTATGTGGAGGTGGGACATATCAATTAACAGAATAGAATGAAAAAATGAAGATATAGAAAGATATATAAATTTGGAAAGTGGAAGTTGAAGTGGCTTTTCAATAATGGCTCCATTTATTTCTACAAATCAGGAAAATTTGCACCTACTGAAACTACTGAAAGCAAAGCAAGAGATAAGTTTGAAGATAATGGAGTAGTTTTAGAAAGTAGGAAAGACAGATTAGTAGAGAAATACAAATATACTGTCATATCTGTTCAAACAGATAAACTGGTAATGTGAATCATAGAACTTTTTGCTTCATTGCCCACTTATATTTCAGAAGTATTGGGCCAAAAAATTGGGAAGAAAGTTGTATTTACTGAAGTTTGACATTTTTCTGGACAAAGGGGGTAAGGAAATACAGAGATGACAAAAGTGTTTAAAAGGAACTATAAAATGCATGCTAGGTATTTAAGAAATGAAGAGTAAGTTGATGGATAAAGAGAAAAATGTTGAGTAATTCACCTGATGTTATAGAATTCTGGATGTCAGAAGAGGCTTGATGTAAATAATTCATAAAACTCAAAAGCTAACCTTAAAAACAGTGGAGGTTATGAAAGAAAATGCAATTCAGTATGAAAAGGAAACCATCTCCTATCATATAAGGATCTTAACCTTGGTTCTGTCTCCACTATTGCTTCATAAAGTGCTGTCTCTCTTATTCTTAAATAAATGTTTGACAAAATATTAAAATATTATTTTGAAATAATATCAAATCATCCTACCCAGGATGATCATCTGAACATCACTGACCAATGAGAAGGAAACACTGAACCATCCATTCCTGAGTGTATGGACAGTTTTTCAGGGAATACAATCTGATGAAGGTTTTGCCCGATCTGGATATTACAAGATAAGTACTAGTGATCAATGTGACAAAAGGAGGTGTAAGAACAGTTCCAGGCAAAAGAACAAGCATCTGAGAGACAGTTAATTCATTTACAGTTCTTTCATTTAAGGGAAACTCCTGTACTAGCCACCCTGAGGAACAGAAAGATATTGCAGAGTTCTCAAGTGAGGAATATTGAATGTGAAGTCTTGGACTGATATTTACTACATTGCAAGCTTAAAAATAGGAACAAGGACTATTTTTGTGTAGATATTTTAATTTATTGTATACATATTAGGTATGTAATTAAAAAAGAAAAATATATTCCTACAACTTGAAAAGACAATAAATAGATTATAGGTACTACTATACAAATGGAATAAATGAATAGAAGACTGTGATTTTTGAACCACATTCATATTACAATTTTAAAACTTATCTTTTACACTGGTCAATTATTTATTTCAAGGTAGAGTTGAAGGAGAATGTATGATAGTTAAGTATTAGTTCAGAAACTTAGACAATTTGGTTGCTAGTATTTATGTGTGGGGAGGGAAAAAAAAACTGTTTACTATATGTAAGTATGTTTCAGGGGAAATGGTTTTAATGGAGTTTTTTTTTTTTATTTTGAAGAAGAAAGCAAGTTTAAATATTAGTTATTTTAGAAATACTACCTAAATTTCAATGATATTGAATATATATTCTCTAATTCCATTTTAATAATCTATAAACTATGTTAAATTGTTAAACTATGAAGTAACAGAAGTTAAAATTTTAACACTTTATTTTTTTTTAAAGATTTATTTATTTTTTTATACAAGCCCTGGGTACAGTCATAAGTGCGGGAGGGTGAGAGAGTTCACCAGAGCCAGAGCAGGGAACAAAACAGGCAGACCGACCAAATACACTACTGAGGGGAGCAGCGGGCGTAGCAGGAGAGGTCTGTCCTGCCATGAGGGATCCTCACCAGCAGCAGGGGATCGAACCGGCGCTTACAGAGGCTGCGGGCAGCCTCGCAGCCCAGTGCTCAACTGCTGTGCCACCAGGGGAGGCCCAATTTTAGCATTTTAGATAGTCAAGCTATAAAAGAAACTAAAGAAATTCAGATTTAACAGTTCAAATACCCACTAAGTTTGGCACCTTTGCCTTCTTACCACTAAGTATATTCTCTTTGAAATGGAATACTTTGTTAACTATACTTGGTAACCCCAGTTACAATCCAAAGGAGAGAAGCCAAGAGAGAGACCACCAATGCAGACTCACTAGTGTTGTCAGAAAATGACAGTGAAGAACCATAGGCAGGCTTGAGAGGTACAACAGTCAGTAGTTTGGGTAACAGTAGTGTGGGTAACCGGAGTCTGGTGAAAAAGCAAGCTAAATCTTCTGTCTTAATAATTAAAGAAAGTCACTCTACACATCACAATGCCTGGCTTTCAAAGTTATCCAGAATTAAGAAATGGCCAAAAACAAACAAAATCTGCATTCTGTTTAAAGGCAGGATATGTATCATAAATTTTAAAAACATTTCTGTGCAAAAATATTTTATCTAGAATATCTCATTCCTGACAATGTATGCTGTACTTATATTTAATGACTTATATTTTTGGTGTAACTTGGGATTATTAAAAGTGAAAAGGGGATAATGGTATGGTGAGGATAGAACTGGCCATTTAGTGGTGAACTTAAAGTGGTATAAAAACATGTGGATTCTCAATGATGGACACCTAAAACTTACTTAGACTTCAGTGCTACTTCAATTACCAAAATAAGTAAAGGAACAAGCTAATATTACAATGAAATATACCTGTATTCAAGGAACCTAGTAACTAGATGACAAAATTTACCTATCTTAGGCAAAAACTCAGTCTGTTGAGATAGACAAGATAGGTTAGCTTTGAGACACATAGGAGACAATTGCTATAAGATGAATGTTAAAAAAAAGTGTTTCATGGGCCTACCCTGGTGGAGCAGGCAGTTGAGCGCCACGCTGTGAAGCTGCCTGCAGCCTCTGCACCTCCAGTTCGATCCCGGCCACCGGGGAGGATCCCATATGGCGCAGCAGAACTCTCCTGTCTCACCCACTGCTCCCCTCAGCACTGTATTTCATCAGTCTGCCTGTTCTGTTCCCTGCTCCATCTCTGGTGAATTTTCTCGCCCTCCCGTGCATCTGGCCTGTGCCCTGTTCTTGTATAAATAAATAAATAAATCTTAAAAATAAAAAAGTGCTTCATGCTATGAATATTAGGTACTTGGCTATATCCTGAACTAAGAGATATGTAAAACCACAAAAAACAACCAGACAAAATACCCCAGGCAAAATAAAATTCCCATTCCTATCATTCATAGCTTTATTTTATCTTCTATTGTTTTGGTCTCCAAGTACATCTGGCACAGTGCCACAAACAAAAGCATCCATTTCATTTCCCAATTCTGTTAACTGTGCTTCATCTTCTAAAATTAAACAGATAGAAAAGTCAAAAACCATGGACCAGCGCAGACATAATATAGCAAAATGAGTCTACTGTTGACAGTAGACTGGCTTGGCCCAAAAAAACTGCAGAAGAGAGAAAAGCTTATCTGAATGAGTGGAAGGCTGGCAAAGGAAGAAGGCTAAAAAGGCCTCCAACTTCAGTAGTTATACAGCCTGAGCCTGAAGAACAAAATGAAAAAACACAGGTGGGTCATTTTGGACTACCACGGCTGAAGAAGATGAACAAAAATTATTTACTGAAAAAGTGAACGAGACATTTTGTGAATGCCTGAACTTGATTAATGAGGAATGCCCAAAAGAAGAAAAATTGGTCACACTGAACGACCTCATTAAAAATATTCCAGATGCCGAGAAACTTATTAAGTATTGGATATGCTTTGCACACATTGAACCAATCACAAGTGCTATTGGAAATGTTATTGCAATATATGAGAAGGCCATTCTGGCAGGATCTCAGCCTTCTGAAGAGATGCAGCATGCAATTGTAGATATTCTTTTTATTTTTTTAATTTTATATATTTTTATATCAGTTTTCATTTTTCTGTGATATATGCATTTTCATCTTAGATATAGTCCCCATAAAATTCCCACCACCCTTGTTTTGATCCTACTTCCCTCTCCCCCCCACCCCCCGTAGTGTGACTCTGGCTTATAGTTGCTAGTTGATTTTGATTTTTACTTTATTATAATTAGTCTTTTTTCTGATCCTGTATTTAGGTTTTCTAAATTCCTGCTTTGAGTGAGACCGTCCAGTATTTTTCTTTTTCTTTCTGGTTTATTTCACTGAGCATGATCCCTTCCAGCCCCATCCATATTACTGCAAATGGTATGAGTTTATCTTTTTTGATTGCTGAGTAATATTCTATTGTGTATATATACCATATCTTCTTGATCTAGTCATCATTTTTGGGCATTTGGGTTGTTTCCACAGCTTACCTATTTCCACAGCTTACCTATATAGTGCCGCAGTTAACATAGGGGTGCAGGTGTCCTTTTGAATTAATAGTTCTGTGTCCTTTGGGTAGATCCATAGGAGTAGAAATGCTGGATCATATGGAAGCTCCAATTTTAGCAGATTGAGGAATCTCCACACAGCTCTCTATAGTGGTTGGACCAGTTTGCACTCCCACCAGCAGTGCAGGAGAGTTCCTTTCTCTCCACATCCTTGCCAACATTTGTTGTTGCTAATTTTTTGTTTTTTGTTTTTTTTTTAAATATGTGCCATTCTCACTGGTATAAGATGGTATCTCATTGTGGTTTTGATCTGCATTTCCCTGATTACAAGTGATGTTGAACATTTTTTTCATATGCCTGTTGGCCATATGCATTTCCACTTTGGAGAAGTTTCTTTTTAGCTTTTCTGCCCATTTTTTTTTTTGACTGGGTTATTTACTTTGTTTT